CGTGCGCGCCGCCTCTGCGCCGCCTCCCCCCGCCTTGCCTGCGCCGCCGCCGTCCGCCTCGCCCTCTCCGCCGCCGCCGTCCGCCTCGCCGCCTCTGCCGCCGCCTCCCTCCGCCTTGCCTGCGCCGCCGCCGTCCGCCTCGCCCTCGCCGCCGCCGCCTGACGTGCAGCTGCTCGACCTCCGCGCCGCCACCACGTACCAGGACTCGAGCCTCTTCGACAAGCAGGCGCCCGTGAACGACCTGTCAAAGTACCTCGCCAAGGCGCGCGCGCTTGCCAGCAGCCGCGTCACCAGCCACTGCCTTCCCGCCACCCACAATGAGATATCATGACCTCCCACCCTCTGCTTGCAGCGGCTCGCTGCGGTGGTGAAGGTGGTCCCCGGCTTCAATAAGGAGGTCAAGTTCTACAAGCGGGTCACGCACGACGACGGCGCCACCGAGACGGAGCCAACGACGCTGGACGAGATCATGCAGATGGACATCACGATGGTGCTCCCCCCCCAGCCTCAGTCGAGGCGGGAGAGCGAGCTGAGCCGCAAGCTCGAGGCCGCGTATGCGGAGGCGACTGCCGCCAAGCGGCAGCGCACCTAATTCACACTACACACACATCACACACATACACATTCACATTAGAGGGTGTCTACTGCAAATACTGTGTACCTGTACTGTAGTACTCCAAATCACCTCCTTTCAAAGGCCACAACAAAGGTGCTTACAATCTGCAGACAATTCCGGACATCGAGGTCTCGCGTGTCGAATCCCCGACACAAGACAGAGCAACCCCCCCCCCCCCACGATTTCTTTTCCTTGAGACCGCAGGGCGGGGACAACCTACGAAGGGCTAGCCGCAGGCAGCTAGCCCATGAGGAGAGCGTCCATAGACACCTCACTAGACCCCACATACGGTCTCGTCCGTGCCTAGCAGGCCGGTGAGATTGCTAGAGGTGGAGCATGCTGCTATAGCCTCACATGTCACTTCCTGTTGTCTGTTGTTTGAGTTGTGCCCTTGTTTGTGCCCTTGGCACCGTGGAGTGCTGGGGGGGGCGACAGGAAGGATGTGGCGCTGAGTTATGTGTACGCCGACTCAGGGTGTGTGGCAGCCAGCTGGCTGTGTGTCTTGTGAGCCTGTTTGTGTCTGTGTGTCGCTCGTGCGTGTCGTCATCATCTGTCTAGCGTCCACCCATACCGCGTTGGTGTCCAGTCCGAGCCTGGCTGTTCTTCACCTTTCTACCTACCTACCTACAACCTGTTCCTTTTTCTATCTCTCTTCGCAGTCTCTCGCCGATTCTCGCTGCAACCTTCATGCCACCTCGCGGTCGTCCCACTCTCGTCGTTCTTTCCCTTGTCACTTCCTCCTCTGATGGGAGGTGAGTTTGGCCGGCGTCGCCCAGGTCTCTTTCTTTTTTGTGAGGCACCAAGCGGACACTCTTCATTGGCTCCGGCTTGACGATGGCGCCAGCGCTTCTGTTAGCCAGCCTCTCCTTCTCACCGTCGTCGCGCCCGCTCGCGACGCACACACGCGCAGCACCTGCGCAGGCAGCGCTCTTCGGCCCAGGTCAGCGAACGCAAGAGCAAGCTCGCCGGACAATAGATAGATAGCACGTGTCGCTCTCTTCTGCTTAATGGGACTCGTAGCATCGCCGCCTGGCACGCCGTCCGAGCAATCCAGCCTCGCCGCAGGCGGTCTCTTCACCTCGATCGGCGGCCTCGGCTTCGCCTCCGCTGCCGACCGCTACGTCGACCCGCTCGACGCTCGCGGCCTCGAAACCTACTCGGGCGGCGTCACCTCGCGAGTCTGGTACACCCCTCCGACCGAGTGGAACGACCTCCTCTTTGCGCTGAACCACGAGGCTTCCGAGACACTTCACGACCTTTCACAGACGCCTCCTCCCTCTAGGGCTTGCGCCGCCGCTCTCCAAACTTCTCGGAGCCGTCTTGCAGGCGATCCGGCACGAGCTGCTCCGCCTCGAGCGGATCACCGAGGCGATGGTCGGCGGAGAACGGCGCAAGCCGACCGACTCTACCTTCAAGTCGCTCGGCCAGTTCTTCGACGAGTGCGTCACGGCGCTCCGTCGAATCGTACAGGTTTTTGAGCCTTCTCGGAAGCTTTTCCGTGAATTTTCCTCTAGGTACGTTGCGGCGCCGATCCGCTTCCAGCACGCCCTCGAGGATGAGGCGAGACCTATGCGAACATGCCGCGACTGTTCCGCGACGCTCACCAAGACACTTCCGAGACACTTCCCGTGGCTTGCTGGCTCTCTGCCCATCAGCAACCCATCTGTGCTACAACAGGTGCTCTTCCCGGCCATCAAGGCGGCGGGCGTGGAGGTGCCTGCCGCGATTACAAGGTGCGGCGGTGCCCAAGCAAGAAAGAGAAAGCTGCCGGCGGCCCTGAGGGAGGGAGGGAGAGAGAGATAGAGAGAGAGAGAGAGAGAGAGAGAGAGAGAGAGAGAGAGAGAGAGAGAGAGAGAGAGAGAGAGAGAGACAGAGACAGAGAGAGAGAGAGAGAGAGAGAGAGAGAGAGAGAGAGAGAGAGAGAGAGAGAGAGAGAGAGAGAGAGCGTGCAGGTGCCTGCCGCGATTACGAGGTGCGGGTGGCGGCGGCCGCGACGGTTCCACTGGCTGATCGGTGTATGCCGTTGGTATGGCGACTGTCAACTTCTAGGCGCGAGGTGGCGGCGGAGGCGGTGCATGCGTTCGAGCCGGGCATCAACACGTACTGGCTCTTCACGCCCTTTGCCGAGGAGGACTTTGGAGTGCCAAAGGCGAAGGGGGCGGCGGGTCTCGGCGGATCTCGGCGGATCTCGGCGGATCGATCTCGGCGGAACTTGGCGGGTCACGGCGGATCTCGGCAGGTCTCGGCGGGTCTCGGCGGAACTTGGCGGATCTCGGCGGGTCTCGGCGGATCTCGGCGGACCTCGGCGGGTCTCGGCGGAGCTCGGCAAATCTCGCGCAGGCGTGGGACGACGCGGAGCTGGACGAGTTCAAGGCGATGATCGAGGAGGGCAACAGCGGGTCGAATGGGCTCGAGGACACGGAGCGCGCGACGGCAAAGGCGGCGGCACGGCTGGCCGCTCTCGTCGGCAGCCTGCTGGAGGCGAAGGAGAGGCAGCTCTGCCCGCTGATTGCGCCGCTCGGCAAGACCTTCGCCGCCGACCTGCAGGGCAAGGTGGAGGAGTGGGCGGCGGGCAACACGCGCGCCGCGCAGATGGAGGAGATGGCCGCGTGCGTGCCGATGGCGGGCGCGGGGGGGCCTGCTGGCCCCGCCAAGCGCGCGAAGCTCGTCGCCGGCGCGAGATCTAGCCGAGATCGAGCCGAGATTCAGCCGAGATTCAGCCGAGATCGAGCCGAGATCGAGCCGAGAGATCGAGCCGCGAGAGCAGTTGTCTCGTGTGAGGGGTAGTGCAGGGAGGCGTCAAGGTATTGCGGCTGCTGCGCGTGCGGTGGCTGCTGTGCAAGAGATACGAAAAGAGGCATGACACGGTTGCCATACGGCTTTAGGCGCTCTCGCTGCGCCCGAGACGGCGGCGCCCGCCCAGGCGCGCGACGGGTTCGACACGCTCTTCGACGGAGCAGGCGAGATACGCCGAGGCACATGCACATGCACATGCACATGCACATGCACAGGCACGTGCACATGCACATGCACATGCACATGTCCATGCACGTGCACATGCAGAGCTGGGGTTGGAGAACTGAGTTCGGCCGGGACGTCCTACAGGCGCGTGGAAATCTGGCAAGTCGGTGCCGGAGACGCGCCTCTGAGCAAAGGCTCCAAGCGGAGGGGGCTGACTTTAGCCGCCCGACACCGTGCCGCCGGCGGGGGCGGAGGGTCGATGCATCTCCTCCAAGCCAGCCTCGCGGAGACGAGGAAGTAGGGAGAGGAGCGGCGGGGAGTCGGGTGGGCCATGGGGGTGCGGGGTATCAGGAAGCGCACACACGGACTGCGAGCTCTCTCTGACCACGACGGAGGGCGTTCTGCTCTTGCTCTATAGGCGTATCTCTTGTACTCGCAGTTGCATTTATGTCTCGTCTTCTTAAAAAATGAAAAAAATGTGTGAGCATTGATCCCCCCCCCCCCCCTCCTCCACCCCACGTTGTATCTGGAGATGCGAGGGTCGCCCCCCCTTGCCCCACCACTTTGTGTGTGTGGAGAAATCTACCTTACCTTACCTTACGTTGTATCTTCCACGGTTGTATCGCGCGCCTTGCGGGGGGGGCGCGGAAAAGAGGAACCTCTTAGCGCCATCGCCATGGCGCTGCAAGCAGCGCCGGGCAACGACGACTTACCGCCTCCCGGCCCCCCTCGGCACACCTCCGGTTTACAACTCTTGCCGGGTTGTTGCACGAGTATATGGGCCACGATGTCTCAAATATGAGGGGTTTTGACTCCCACCGGCTCCTGGCGCAATCCCTGGCAGGTTTAATGACCAGGATCAGTAGTGTTGTGATAGAGGGTGCCCATACTAGCGCAGGAGCTGCCACACTCGCCCGGACCGTCCCCTTCTGGGGCCGGTTCCGCAGCCCGCGAGAGCCGACAGCGGGGCCGTGCCGCGGGTGCCTGCTGCCGAGTGCCACAAACACTTCGCCGTCCCGCCATCACCTACAGGCTGTCTTGTGTGATAGTTGGGATGTCCAAACGCCACCATCTTGGCTCTTGCGACCTCGAACCCGCGAGCTGTATGGGTGGTCCTGACGTCGACAGACGCCCGATGACCACGGTGAAGCTGAGCCGGAACGAGTCGACAAGTCTCGTCTGAGCTCGTGGCGGTCGCCGGCTCCGCCGCGGACGTGGTGCGTCCGGGATTCGAATTTTCGAGCGAATCTCGCGCATCGGAACAACTGTGTTAGTGCTGCTAATAGGTCAAGTGCGACAACTGCCTGCGCAACGCGCGCCGACCACCACCGCATCCGTCGTGGGGCCAAACTCAGGGCGTGTGTGTGTAGAATGTACACACCGGCGCAAGGGCCGTCAGTGCCCACGCGAGAGGCGCTAATGCCTGTTTTTGCGCCTTGTCCGGACTGGCTGCGTGGGCGGTGGTTCACGGTTGGCGTGCACCCGGTCTGAGCGATGCTCGAGTCGCTGCTCACAGCATCGCCCTCCTGCCCATGGCACTCTTGTAATTGTTGTCCTCGTTCGGCGATGGAGTGTCGTCACACGCGCGGCACAGGCCAGCAATCATCTGCATGTCAAAGGGTGGCGGCGGCACGGACCACACGCGCACGTGCTTGCGTGCGAGCGGGTCGCGCTAGATGAGGCCGATGAGGGCGTTTGCAAAATCGGCCAACTCTAAGGCGAGCGACACCTCCGATGTGTCCACCGGCGCGCCCGCGGTCGCCGTGTTCGCGCCCGCCACGTCGTCGCGCCGCAGGCTCGCCAGGAGGGAGCGTGAAATCACTGGAAGGCGGCTCAGTCGCTGCTGCGCACAGTTCATCGCAGCGGAAATATGGCATTGAAGGCCTGCTCATTGAAGGCCGGGTCCTCTTCCTCCATCGCCTTCTCGTCCTTCTCGTCGAGCTCCTTCTGGTGGCACCGGCGCTGATAGAGCGCGTTAACCGCCGTGGGGATGTCGAACATGCCATCCGTGATGCCATCCGTGTGACGGGCATCGGGCGGAAGCTCTGGTCGCCGATAATCGTGCCGCTCGGGCTGGCGAGCTTGCGGATCGCGTCGCGCAGATGCACGTCGGGCAGATCGCGCGGGATGAGGATGTTGAGCGCGCATGAGCCGCGAAGCGCCTCATTCTTGCCGTCCAGCATGATTGGCAATGGTGTGGCAGCTGCGCTGCCTGGCAAGCGCTTCCTGCCGCCGTCGATGGCGCGCACGATGGGCAGCACAAAGTTGAAGAAGTAGCCCATCGCGATGCCCGTGCCCGCCAGGCTGAGCGCGCGACGGTACTTACGCACGAGCGCCGCGACGTCCGCCTCCGGGTCGTCCTCGAGCATGAGGAGATTGTTGACAAAGTGCACGGTGCCGACGATAAATGCGAGCTCGAACAGCTCGCCACGCGTAACCGGCTTCGTGTCAGAGCGGAAGAGCAAGGCAAGCAAGAGCAGCACGAGCGCGATAGCGGCGCGCGTCACGTCCTTGGCGCGCCGGGTGCCGAGCCCAAGCAGCGCGGCCCACGTGGCGAGCACAAAGGGCAGCAGCGCGGCATCGAAGAGCATGAGACCGATGCTGCCCGCGAGTGCGTGGAAAGTCTCCTTATCTGCCTCTGCACCGGCGTGGGGCGCCATGCCCGCAAGCAGCCGGCCGTGCAAGGCCGCACTGTCGGTCGCAATGTCCGTCACATTCGCTTCCTGCATGGCAGTGTAGATGGCGTGCCCCGCACCGCTCGCCGCAAGCGTCGCAAACAGTGCAAAGTCGGCGATGCGCCTGGCGTCCCATCCGCCGACCGGTCGGGGCGCCTCCTTCAACGGTGCTTTGAGCTCGTAGCACGCCCCGGGCGGCACGTCGTCGGCGTGTAAAGGTTGGGTGACCAGCATCGGGGAAATGCACAAGTTTTTATTCGGGATCCGATTTTTTGGACCAAGACGCCGTTCATGGAGACACGCCGTTGTTTTTTATGCTAAAGGTCCCTGCGCTCGGCACCGTCAACTCGGTGCGGCTCCCGTCAGATTCCACCTTTTAGAGCAGAAAGGCCAGTAGGTGCCTCCCTGTTTGTAGACATGCGTTTGTGCCCCGTTTGTGCCACGTCCCGTGCCCCCGAGTTCATTTTAGAAACTAGGCAAAGGGGAAAAAAAGCAGGGCGCTCGGAAAACTCGCGCCGCCGCGGCGTGTCTCCATCCGAGCCGCGCTCCTTGAGCTACTTGAGCACACATTACGTTCGTTCAGAGGCACGCTACGCCCCGAGGCAACGCCGCACCTCCTAGCACGCCGCGCGGCCATCCGTAGCGCCTCGCGGAGCGCCTCGCTGCCGCGAGGACTCGGAACTGAAACGTGTGCAGACCGGTTGCGTCGCTTCGCCAGCGCCGAGCACCAACCCTCTCTGGGCTCGGCCCAGGCTCGCATGTGATCCCAGTGACTCCCGCATCGGTTTCTAGTCTGAGCTCACCGCCCACACGAGCCCGCCGTCTTCTCACTCCTCATGCCTGCAGCAGACTCACATGTCGTCCATCATCGAGAAAATCAAGAGCTACGACCTTCCGCCCGAGCTTCGCGAGGCGATCAACAAGCGAAACGACCTGCTCCTTGCAAAGTGCGCGCGTTCGATTGCGTGTCGCGGCCCCGCCAGCCGCATTCACTCCTCAGCTCGCGCGCGCGCAGGCTCTCCTCCGCCGCGGACCAGCTCAAGGCCGTCGGTGGCGACTGCTTTAAGCTGACAGTGCAGTACCAGGAATTGGAGCGCTCCAACGAGGGCGAGCTGGCATCGCTGCCGTGGAAGTCCGTCGAGGAGGCGCGCACCGCCGGAAAGCCCTTTGAGATGACGCTGCACGACCCTCTCACGCTGCTCAAGGGGAAGACGTTCCTCGGCTGTCTGCTTGAGCTGCTCGGCGACAAGGGAGCGAGCGATCTGCGCGTCGTTTGGGCCTCGGCCGACCTCGACAACTTCAAGACGGTCAACGACCGCTGGTCGCACGCGCACGGCGATTTCGCCATCATCATCGCGTGCCGCGCTATTCAGCGCGCAGTTGACAAGTGGAACCGTGAGAACGGAGCGCTCGGCCACGCAGTGGCGATGCGCTTCGGCGGCGACGAGATCGTGTTGGCCATCGTGCTCAAAGGCGACCAGCAGGCGCAGGCGTGCAAATCGCTGCTCAATGACGTCCACTCGGCGACGTGCCGCAGCCTGCAGCAGCGCTTTGACTTTGCCGGACTCGACCCTAAGCCCATCGACCGCGACGGCAAGCCGATCGAAGCCAAGGGCCCTGCCATCTCGATCGGCGTCTCGTCTGCGCTGCCCTGCGGCGCTGGGTCGTCGACGCTGTACACGAAGGGCTTCAAGCGCGCCGACGACCTGCTCAACGAGTACAAGGGCGTGTGGAAGAGTGGCGGCACGCGCCTCGGTGCCAAGCCGACTGAGGGCGGAGGAGTCATCTTTGAGGACGCCATCCTCGACGCCAAGGGGGGCGAAGTCAAGAAGCATATCGACGTCCTCTCGAGAAAGGGTGTGGCGGGGAAGGCAATGCAGGAGGCGGCGGCGGCGCTGGAGAAGCTGTCGCTCAACGCCGACAATAAGGTGGCGATTGCGAAGGAGGGCGGCCTGAAGCCGCTCATTGCGCTGCTGACGAGCGGCACGCCGGTGGCCAAGGAGAAGGCGGCGGAGGCGCTGCGGAACCTGTCGGTCAACGCCGACAATATGGTGGCGATTGCGAAGGAGGGCGGCCTGACGCCGCTCATCGCGCTGCTGACGAGCGGCACGCCGGTGGCCAAGGAGAATGCGGCGGCGGCGCTGGCGAACCTGTCGGCCAACGCCGACAATAGGGTGGCGGTTGTGAAGGAGGGCGGCCTGACGCCGCTCATTGCGCTGCTGACGAGCGGCACGCCGGTGGGCAAGGAGATGGCGGCGGCGGCGCTGCGGAACCTGTCGAACAACGCTGACAATAAGGTGGCGGTTGTGAAGGAGGGCGGCCTGACGCCGCTCATTGCGCTGCTGACGAGAGGCACGCCGGTGGGCAAGGAGAAGGCGGCGGCGGCGCTGTCGAACCTGTCGGCCAACGCCGACAATCAGGTGGCGATTGCGAAGGAGGGCGGCCTGAAGCCGCTCATCGCGCTGCTGACGAGCGGCACGCCGGTGGCCAAGGAGAAGGCGGCGGCGGCGCTGTCGAACCTGTCGGCCAACAACGCCGACAATAAGGTGGCGATTGCGAAAGCGGGTGGCCTGAAGCCGCTCATTGCGCTGCTGACGAGCGGCACGCCGGTGGCCAAGAAGAAGGCGGCGGAGGCGCTGAAAGTCCTCGCAAAGATCCCCGACATCAAGGCCGAGATCGCGCGGGCGGGCGGCCCCAGCGCCGCCGCCGCCTGAGTGCATCGTGCCTTCTGCACGCCGGGGCACACACCTCGTGCCAAGACCTAAGGAGACTAGGCGGGGGGAGGGGGCGCTGCCGCTGACTGCTGTGGGCGAGGTGGTGAGGGAAGCTGTGTCCAGCCGACAGTCGTTAAAAATGTGTGGAGAATTTACCGTACCTTACCGTCCACGACTGCATGTCCACACGACCAACCTCCCCACGACCATCCAACCTCCCCAGCGCATATCTCCTAGTGCTGTGTAGGGTCACTGACCACAACATGCGGTGCGTCGTCATCTTTGCACGCGCCGCCGGCCCGCCATCACAGCTCCACGGCTGTATGATGTAACATACTTGACCCCCCCTTTGGTGCCACGTCTTTTCCTACCAACCCAGCGCCGATCTCGGCGGGGCATCTGCGCCTCTCGGTGGGGCATCATGAGCTCACGGGGCTGCCCGACGGGGCAGGCCTCGTGCTGATGGACCCAGCCGAGGTGCCCAACCAGTTGGACCCGCGCCGACGCGCCGCGCGCGACCACCAGCCAGCTTTTGGCGGGGACGAGGACGGTGCGTAGATCGCGCCGGCACTCTCCGGTCCATCCGGAATTTTGTCGTTTTAGTTAGCACTGCTGCTGCAGACAGGGCCCGCGTGGCCCCATGCCCTTCCCATATCTCGTGAGCTGGGAGGCTTGGCGCCACCCCGGTGACCGCCCACAGGTGGCTGTTCGCAACTCTCGGGTTGGCTCTGCGCTCCGGGTTTCCCCTAGCAGCGGAACGCCCCCTCTACTCGGGCACTTGGGGAGCACTTGGAGTGCAGTCATCAACCGCACATCCAGGGCCGGGGAGCTAAGAAGCGCACCCAGCGGGCCGGATGATTGGCATCGGGTTGCGGGCAAGAGAGCCCTAGCCCTGGGGGTGCGCGTTCGCAGGGAAAGGGCCGTAAAGTAAACTCTAAACACGGGTCTCCGAGGGTTAGCCCCGCGTACCGGGTTTCCCCTTAACTGCAGGACGCCCCCTCTACTCGGAGCTAATGAACACCACACTGCACGCCCCACACCACCGCTCTACACTCACTTGCGCAGACACTTGAGTTCAGACCCGCTGAGGGCTCACCCCTCGTCTTCCCAGGGTCCCGACCTTCCTTGATTCGCTCTCTTGCTCGTCTCCCGAGCGTTATGCGACGACCAGCGGCGCCCGGCCGCGTCGTGTCGTGGGCAGCGCCCGCGGGCTTGCGCGAGCCAGCGCCTGAGCGGGGCGGCGTGCCGCCCCCTGGTGCCCCCGGCGGTGTGGGAGGCGGCGGCTCGCCGCCGTGTTCGGGCGGAGAGGGAGGCAGCGACGGCGGCGGCGGCGGCT